GCAGAATGACCCACGCGCGCCAGGCGAGCTTTTCCCTCCCATGCGGACCGTCCGCCTGACACGCCACACGCTGGGTCGACACAATGGAGCTTCGAGTCAGGAACCGACACTGTACTCCAGCGCCAATTGTCTTTTTTTTTTTTTTTTTTTTTACATCTTTTGTTCCCGCGGATAAAAGCGACATGTTGGAGCTTTTTAAGGGCCCGGCAGCTGCTCTTCACATCCTCTCCCCTGCCCCACTTCCTCCCTCCATGCATCAGCCCCGTAGGTTGTTATATGGACAAACCACCAGGGTGGTTTTAAACAGCGGCTCCGATATAGTGCCGTTTTTAAATTTTTGACTGACCATGATCCAACCCCCCGCCCCCTCAAAAATTTAGCTTCCCCATCACTTTAATAACTGGTTACTGTTGTCTCATCAGCCCATAAAACTCCCGGAATGTTTGAGTCTTGTTTCTTTGTTTTCATGTTGGTTCAACCTCGAGCTAGTGAACCTGTAGTCTTCGAAGGCATAATCCAAATCTGAAACGGAGCCCAGACATTCAGTGTTATTTCTTATTTGAATAATATTCCAAGTTCTTTCAGTTTCACAAATGCTTGTTTTTTCACCCATATACAAATCTCTGATTTTGATGTTGGTTACCCCTTTAATTTGTATCAATCTCTTTTTCATAGGCAAAACTCAAATGTGGAACTTGGGGTAGCCACCCAACACTATTTATGGTTTTAACAATTTTCCATATTCACTCAACCTCACAGTTGTTGTGCCCCCCCCCAGACATCCTTCGTAGGATTTGGAAATATAGAATTGAACACCCTGGACTGCTCGCTAGCCAATTGGAAGTCACTTGAATCGTGACTTAAATCCAGCCTTAATTATCCCCGGAATCTGGCATTCAGAGAATACCCCTAAGAGTCCCATGAGTTGAGGCTAATGATTACTGTACTAACATCAGTTCAGTTTTTCAAATAATGGCCTCAAAATCATGACGTGCCGAGTCGAAAAATGGCTTCCGGCAATAATGGGGAGTCTTTGGGCTTCAAAGATGGATATCGAGGGCCGCAAAGCCACTCCTCCATTGGCCCTCTTTCACAAGACAGGAAGTGTGTCACATGAACATGCCTTTTTCCCACAATATTCGGGGCCATTCCTGGAATAACAACTTCTCATCTGTATGTCTGGTTCAAAGGCCAGCCTGGTTCCTCTCGGTTTAACATGTGATGATAGAGTCAGGATGTGGGAAAACACTGAGTGGCACCCCCCCGGGAGGGCAACATGTGGCCCAGTCTTTTATCTCGTGTGAACTAGCTTGAATGAAAACTGGTGCCATTGAGTTTGGCATCACACACTTTTTTGGTGGGTGTGTGTGTGTGTGATTCTGAGGTAACTTGGCAAACATGTCAAAACCCTTGTTGGGTTATTGTTTGCAGTAGTGAAATTATATACACTAGAATGAACCCAAACAACCAGTTACCCATTGATTGGTCGACACAGTTGTTACTACTCGTCTAATGTCATGTAGAGCCAATATGTTGAGAGAAACAATTACAAGAATAACTGATTGAAGGTTGAAATTTTGACACCCTAAAATTTTTTGCAGGGTATTTTGTTGGCATATTTTCTGTTTTTAAATGTTAGCTAGGCTACCTTAAATAGAACTGTCGAGTTCTGTTCTAACAACTGTACAATATTATCTCAGATAACACTGAAGGACAGCTGGTTTTATTTTGAATCATTGGTTTTACAAGTGGACAAATATGATGTTAGCTAGGCTAGGCTAGCTAGATAGGTGAGAATGATCAATCGACCATGTTCCTCACAGTAAAGACATCGTTTTAGACTCTGCTTAAAACATGAGGATAACTCATTTGAAACTTGTTCTAACTGTAAAGACAAAATGTTTGACACAAAACTCATTAAGATTTGAAAATGTACTTTTAACAACATGACAGGATTTGCGAAAAATGTCAGTCTGTCAAACTGTCAAACTGTACTTCCAACATTTTATTTTGTCAAATGGTAGCACAAAGAGAAATCATCTGGATCCAGACTTTTTAAGTAGTCCATACAACTACTTCAAATGATAATATTTCGTCCAACCACTTGATGAAATAAAATGTCCTAAATTCAACAGCAATTTTTTTTCAGTGTATGGTTGGAAGAGACACTTCCACTTTAGTGCAACACACTAAGAATTGTAAAAAATCATTGGATGGGTTCCAGAGAAAATTATTTTTTTTTGTAAGAAAAAAAAACGTTTTGGGGGAATTGGTGTTTTTGTGTAATATCGCCTGTCGAAAATTTGCTAAAAAAAAACACCTTAAAATTTCTCAGCATATCTCTTCAATCCTTTCATTTCATCTTCTACCTGCAAAACCCCTTCTCTAACTGGTTGCAGAGTTGCAGTTAAAAATATCCATCAATAACCTTATATGGGCTGAAATGCTAAGGAATTCTCTCAGTCAACCCTCCAAAATTACTGTGATGGTTCCAAAGGCATAGCTTGCCCTAAAAACTCTAAGTTACATTATTTGTGAGAAGAACAGTGTGGGCAGTATGCTATATCGAAAAGGTCATGCATGTACATTAGTAACACAACTGTTTCTTTAATGAATGTATTGGTTATGGAGGATTTTAGAGGCTTTTGATGTGCCCATTCCATGTTTTACAAAAAATTCCACAAAGATGGTGGCCACAAGTCACATTGCTACAATGAGTAGACAGGTTGATTTCTTTCCTTCTTCTTAGCTGTATAGATAACAAATTAGCCACAGATAAGACACAAAACAGAAGAATCATGTATTTTAATTTGAAAACGTACTTCTACAGGTGGAGGAATTATGATGTTATTAAGTGTAGGCTGGGTTAGCATTTAGTTTGATCCAACTACTATGATACTGACTGTAGAGACAATACTGTAGGGACTTATGGCGTACCGATAGGCTGCATTTTAGTTGTAAACTTTTAAACAGAAGTTGAAAGACACATCTTGTGTTGTTTTGAGGATGGGACTTTTACACAGAAGTTGAAAGACACATCTTGTGTTGTTTTGAGTGCTCTATAAATAGAGGTAAGTCGAGGCATTCATTGAGGTTGAACAGTTCATCTATTATTTCAAAACCGTAGAAGCCACTCAATTCATGTTTCATTTGAGATCTTACGTGTGGGATTTATCAGACGTGACAGGAAACACTGTGTAAATGTGAAAAATGGATGAAGAATATTATGTGACGCAGCCTTGTTCCACTTTTACTGAGTGAAATAAATAATAACACCTGCTATTTAGGTGCCATCTGACAGAAATGGGACAAGAAGCATCAATGTCATATTTTTGTCACGAGATGTCTGTCCGTCCATCATATTATGCCTCTGCTGCCTCCATGGCGTCTGTCTTTCATTATATATTTGACGACTTCAAAAGAACATCTCGCCTCCTTTCATCTGCTGCCTCAGCCCCCCCCCGGAAAAAGGAAAAAAAAAACAAAACACTGTAGATTTTCCAAAAAGAGCTTTTCATGTCAAAGAGCAGATGTGCACTGACCACAGGGCCTCCCCGTGACACCCCTCTCATCCCCTGGGAGCCTGGCCTTTAATGTTAAATGCTTTATGAGTAACCACTCAAACAGCTTTTTTCCTTTTGGGGATTTTAAAATTACAATCTAGATAACATGAACTATCCATCTATCCATTTTCTCTCTCGCTTATCGTGTTCAGGGCAACGGTTAATCTAAGGGTGCAATCATTCATGTCTCTGAATGGAAATGGAGCCAATTCTGCCTGCACTGAAGTAGACCACTACCTGATCAGTGACTCTTCAAGTAAATTACAATTATCCATCCATTAATTTTCTATACCGCTTGAGCCCATCCCAATTGAGGCGTGCTGCATCCTGGTCTGGTCGCTGGCCAATCACAGGGTGCATGTAGACAAACAAGCACCCACATTGACATTCACACATTTTAGTGCATGGGTCACCGACATGGGGCCCGCAGGCACTGGGTCTCCCCCAAGGACCAAATGAGTACCGGTAGCTATTCCACCGTTTTAAAAATAGTACTGTTAGTCAGTGTTTGTGGCTATAGTGAAAAATGGGACATTCTGATTTGTTAGAAATGTTGTATAAGTGATATTTGCACATCTTAACGCAGTAGAGATTCATAGAAATATAGTGTTGATTGTTGATATTTGTTTCTGACTGAGGTAAATCTATCCATCCATTAACCGAACCACTTATCCCCATGAGGGACATGGCGTGCTGGAGCCTATCCCAGCTGTCTTCGAGCAGTATGCAGGGTACACACTAAACTGGTTATCAGCCAATCGCAGCCTAGATAAATCATTGTTGATAGTTATTGTGACGCGGTCAGTGTCTGCGAGTAGATGAATGTCAATATTTTTTATCAATATTCTATAACTAAAGGTCGTTTGAGCGATATGTTTTTGAAATGTGTGTATCAAACTGGTAGGCCTTTGACTTAATCAGTACCCTCTGAGTTTTAAAGAGGTTGGTATCATTGATTTAGAGTCACATAATATGCATCTTTTTGGAATGTGGGGGTGGGGGGAAGCCAAATATTCCGACAAAAACCCCGCAAATATGTGGAGAAACTCCAAACAGGAAGGATGGAGCTGATATTCAAAACTAAAGCTCATAACTGTGAGGCAGATGTGCAAACCGCTAGAAATTAAATGAAATTTGTAAGGAAAGAGAAAATAAGGATGATCTGATTAATTCTCTTCACATAGGCCGATATTATATTATGTCTGACTACAGTTTACAAAGTCGTTTTAATTTAAGGTTTAATGATGGTATAAGATCAATAGGCATATATAGACAAAAGGTGAATACAGTATTCAACGCGAGTACAAAAACGGACGATGTTTTATTGTGAAAGTCTCTCTCTACTAATCGTTTGTCTCCAAAAGACGGATTTTATTTTATTTTTTTTATTTTATTTTGATAGCGTCTAAGCGGATGTTGACTGTTGTACTGCTGGCATCGAGCGAACCACCAGACCCTACAGCAACCTCAGACGTTTCTTTGCTCACCAGGCGTACAGACGTCTTTGAGTGTGCTCCCGCCACTCTCCTCTTCTCCGCGGACTCATTTCGGATATCTCCCGCTCTCTTCACCCACCCCTTTCACGTTACTTTTCGGACTATATTACTCATCTGATGGTGTCCACCGATGCCGAGAGATGGGGAAACTGCACTCGAAACATGGTGAGGCTTTTTTGTGATGTTGAAACTCTCGTAGTTGTGGTACTTGAGTGTTCATTGTCTTCTTTCGTTCTTTTTTTCCGGTTTCCATCCACTACAAGCCGCTATTTGTAAAGCGAGAGAGAGCCCGGAAGGTAAGCAGCATGGTTTTAGGGAACATTTGCGTTACTTTGTGGAGGGACGAAGGGATCTTGCTTGTGTGAACATGTGCACGGACGAGTTCCCACTGTACCACAGTATAAAATACACAATATTAAAGCTGCCTTCTGTTTCAGGCGACAGCTTTGTAGTTAATGCCTGTTTGGCTCGGAAGGGACTGGACGACTGGCTGGTAAAGCAGCAGGACTGTCATCTCAAGACCAAGTGCGCGTTGACCACCCGGGTGAGTCAACCGAGGGTCCCCGGAACCTCCACTAAACCCCCCCGCCTCCTTCCCCGCCGTCTCATTCTCGCCCTGCCGTCTGTTGTGCTTGAACGCTCCTTTTTGTAGATCCCTTCACTTTTTGAATTCTCACTGGACATAAATGAGGGCCTAGTATGGTTTCACGAGCCATCGGTCGTACTGCTCAAAAGACAAGAGCTGCATCCAAAATGTTGCCATTGCACCAGATTGATGACACTTTCAATGAATAAATGAAGCCATGTGGTTGTCCACGAGCAGCACGACGCCAAACGCCACATTACCCGATTCATTGACACGTTATACGAGTGAAGCACCGGCGAAAGGAAGAATGCAAGGAATTTTGACGGGCATCTAGTGCAAGACTGCACTTAGAATAATTTTCTCTCATTTTTTTATTGAATAAACCTTTAATCTATTGACAGCATTGAGGCGAATGGAGTTGCGTGTACGTTGAAAATTCTCTCCGTTTTTTTAAAAAAAATTTAAATAAGGCTTTGCGCTTTCCAAAATCTAACAAGAAGAATACAGAATATCCTCTCGGAACTATCTAATGAATTAGAGCTGGCTTTAGTTACTGTACTATACTCCATCCAAATTGATTAATTCCAATTAGTCCCTAAACTCGTTCATTGATCCTGGAAGGTTTACTTTTATCAGATTATTACACTTATTTCTATGTTTGTCACACTTATTTTCTTTTGTTTCTGTTGTTCTTTATTATTTTCTGTGTTTTCTTATGAATATTTATTGTTCCCTGGCCTTGCTTGGAAAAGAGCCCTTGATCTCAATAAGGGCTCAATAAGGGGTCCTCGTAAAAAAAAAAAAAAAAAAAAAAGTTTAGAAATGCTTAAAGCAATAAAAACAGATGGAAATAATCAAGAAAATTAGAGATGCCTGCTTTTTAACAGTACTGCAACTTACTGAGGACTTAGTCTAATATATTACTCCTGTCATGCTGCTAAATAAGAGCTTGAAAATATTAGAAATGACTCCTGGTATAAATAAGCGCAAATTCCACACCACAATTATAAACAGTAACATAATCATTATTGAATACATTTAAAATAAAGTCAACAAAGGCATAAAAACACCATTCATTGAATTTACATTTTCAAATTAATATAAAAAAATTCCCTTTACTTAAAGCTTGTATATTTTTGTAGGGTACATTTTTAAAAATGACATTAAAACCATTTATTTTAATTATTTGAAGTTTTTGTCATACTCTTGATTAAAAAAATATGGTGATGCGTGCTTTGATTGTCCACGTAAAGTTACAATGGCAGAAGATGATACACATTTCCTAGATATCCCTGAGCATAATAAGTTTTAAATGAAACAAATTAATACAATGTGTTACAAAATGCTTAGTCTTGATCCCTGTCGACTTTCAATGGATTCTTACTTTGCCCTTTCCTCGCTCCTACATGAAGTATTGTCTAGATAGGTTACTGGAAGTAGCATTTTGGCTAACCCTGCTCATAAACAATCATCTGTGTGCCATAATCGTGGAATACACATCTCTCTCTCTGACAGCTTCAGTCACAAGCGACCACTGTTACCTCAAAAAAATCCAACATTTTGGATACAGCTCTGCGACTGGGTCTTATTTGTGTGTGTTTGATGTTGACAATGCGAATTTCAACACTTGTTTGGTCTCTGCGGGCGAGTCAGATGTTGGTTTTCAGCCCAGTTGATGTTTCTTTTTAAAAAAAGGCGACAATAGATCAAGCCATAGTTCAAAGCATTTTGGGATGACAGCCTGGTGACATGTGAGGATGGTAAAAAGCTGAGGAATGTTGGTCAGGCTCGACGATGTTTTTGTCTTTCGGCATTGCTGTAGACACACACAGTGTTGTTGTTGTTGTCAAGTGAGGGGGAAATCCTTTGGAATTGCTTCAGAGGAGTCTTAAGCCTCTTTGGTTAGCGGTGTCGTTCTCAAACGTTGAAAATTGTTCGTCGTTGTGAAGGAAAAGGAGAATAGAGTTCATCCACCACCCACACTTGTCTTTTTGCTGAATGCAGCTTGCAAGAACAGCTTTATTCTGTCCATAAGGAGGAATCCAAACCTTAGGAGACACGCCGTGGTTCGTAAAGGTCACAAAATTTCTTTTTTTTTTTTTTTTTTTTCCAAGCATCACGCTCTAAAAATTAGCTCTTGCGATAAGAGCGTTTATGTGTTGGCGAGAAGACAAGCTAATCCGGCGAGTCTAAAGTCCTCTGACGTGTTTTGTTACGGTCGTCTTTGGATGCCGCTTCGTTATCGGGGTTGTTGACACTGTAGTTAAGAATGCTGGATTGTTAGTCTAGGAATCAAGTATTTGGATAGATGCGGGTCCACGATTTATGGCGGCACTAACATATTTGGTTTTGAGATTATAAATTACCCGCAATGAGCTATTTTGCCTTAGGGCTTAAGAATACATAGTCACAAGAAGGCGCTCTCAGTTACCGCCGTACTTGCGGAACTCCATCATAAACCGATAGTCAGAATGACAAAGTTTAAAGGTCCAAAATACCGTAAGTGAAATTTACTAACACTGGTCAACAGCAAATCTCAATCAGACATGGCTTTATGTGTCCTTAAACATGTTTTTGACGCTGAGCATGGGTCCTTGAGACGTTTTTTTGATGCGTTTCAGACCTATCCCTTGAACTTTGTGAAACAGGTGTCGAGGCCTTATTTGTTCGATCAATGGGCCCTCATACCACCGGTAGAGAGACAGTCTTGCTTTGAATTATAAACACCTGCAAGTTATTAAAGAAGTTTTTTATTTCCTCGATTAATTGTTTTAAGTGTAAATGTGTCGTAGAAAGGGTTCCGTCAGTCGTCATCTGTACCTGTGGGACGGAACCCTTTCTACGATGGAACTTTCCTGTACGACTGAGAGCCTCCACAAGCAAGTGTAAATGTGGTAAACTGTGAATAGGTGGGGAAACATCATATAACAAAAAGAAACAAAACAGACAAATTGATCAGCATTGGTATTGTTTAATATCCATCCATTTTCTGATCCACTTTATCCTCACAAGGGTCGCGGGGGATGCCGGAGCCTATCCCAGCTGTCTTTGGGCAGTAGGCGGGGGACACCCTGAACCGTTTACCAGCCAATCGCAGGGCAAACAGACACGAACAACCATCCGCGCCCACACTGACACCTAGGGACAATTTGGAGTGTTCAATCAGCCTGCCGTGTATGTTTTTGAAATGTGGGAGGAAACCGGATTACCCGGAGAAAACCCACGCAGGCCCGGGGAGAACATGCAAACTCTACACAGGGAGGCCGGAGCTGGAATTGAACCCGGTACCTCTGCACTGTGAGGTCGACGCGCTAACCACCGGGCCACTCGGCCGCCCCAATACACATCTATGTGTGTGTGTGTGAGTGTGTGAGTGTATAAAAAATATTCATACATATATATATATTTTTGTATCACAAGCTTTCGTTAGACTCATTGGCAGCCATGCGCTCTGTGGCGGTGGCGCGACAGTGACTGAGTGGTGTTGGCAGGTGGGTCTTGACTTATGACATTGGGGTCATGTGATACCCCCGTGCGCAGCCTGTCGTGGAGCCCTCCCTGTAAATAGCCACGTGCATTATGTCGGTCCTCGTGTGGGCATTAAACAGCACACCCTCATTTCAAATATTGATGATAATCGTGTGCCACTTACTTTTGAAGCATTTGTCTTTCATATTCCTGCAAAAAGAAAAAAAAATCAAAATCAAGCCAGTCACCAACCCCCTCCCCCAAGTCCCCTTTGCCTTTAAAATCCCCCTTTCCACCTCCCAACTGGTGCTCCCTTCTGCCCTCGCAGACTCCATCTGTTTGGTGCGTTTACCCGGTGGCCTTGTGTTGCCGGATGAAACGAGACGCCATTTGAAAGGGGGCCCTTGCGGGGAGGTGTTCCCATTGATAGTCAAGGCTCCACTTGTATTATAAGTACAGACAGCCTCTTTCCATTTTTAAAAGATGTCTTTCCGCCAAGCATTAAAGTTCGGTATGGTTCAGATCGGCAAGTGCTAATCCAACTTGTGTTTCCCACCATGGGCAGTGTCAATAAGTGAATATAGACGGTCCTTGGTTCAGGACCAAGTTCTATTCCTATAAGTGCGCCTATTGAGGTACTTCACAAAGTGTGCTGCGAGCCATGATGTCCACTAGCCATAGGTTGAGCTGCGCTGTGTTTGTTTACAGAGGAAATGTGTGGCGAGAGCGCGAGCCAATTACACTTGCTGCGCCTTACATAATATCGGATGTTCTCTACCCGAAAAAATACAAATGGGAGTTATTCCCTAAGATCTTTATCGTTACAGGTGAACACTTATTATTTACAAATATTTATACGTTTATATGTTTACAGTAAACTATTCGCAAATGATACCACGCTGATTTTTCTTGCGTGAACCCTACAAGGAGGCTCGCCTGCCTGTCGGACCTCTGCTTGAATCTGCCATCACGCTGCTGTTCACTGTCAAGCCGACGGGGGATTATCTCGCCGACATTGTCGACCATACAAGAAACTTTTCAAAACATTAAGGGACAACCACCCCCCCCCCTCCATTTTTCCACGTTGGTTTCACATTTGCAAATGGTCTCATGTGGAATCTTTGATTCTTTGATGAAAGAATTCTCCTAAGTGAGTGACCACAAAACTCGATCCATGTTGCCGACTGATTTTTCCTTTTTCTTTTTTTTTTTTTTTTTTATTGGTGAAGTAAACTGTTTTTGGGAAGCAAGCAGGCCCATTTCAGATGCATTCCCTCTCCTCCAAGCGCGGTAAGACAGGTTATGCTTTGGCTGTGTTTTTCAATGCCACAAAGCGAGGGCCTTCGTCTGGATGCTGAAAGCAGTTTTCACACCTCCTCATCTTCTCCTTCTTTTTGTGTGCTTTTGTAACCCCCGCCCCTTCGCCCTTCTCCCACCACCACCAACTGGCCTCTTGTGTGACGTATGGTCGACTCCCAGCAGGCTTTACC